GTGTGCACACCTGATCCCAGACACGCTCCTGCTGGCGCAAGACATAATGAAAAACCACTCTGCTGGGTGGCAAGGGTACTGTATAGCGAGTGAGGTGAAACACGCTGTCAGCTGGCTGGTGGGTGAACCACTCGCGGCGGCCCTGCAGGATGTTAATGACGCCGCCGCCACCCGGTGTCGTTACTGCCAGCCCGACCAGCCCCTCAGGATAGCCTCTATGAATATGTCAGGCAGCAGTGCCGAGGGACTGGATGACGGGAGAGTCGGCTTAGGAGGGACGTCGGATTTCGACGTTATGTACGAGTTCGACGGTCCCTTCCGCTGGGCAGCAGTGGGGAAGAGAGAGGAGCCGGCCGTTATTAACCCCAAGTCAGCACCACAGCTGTGGGCCCGGCCGACCAAAAACCCCGGCTTTGTGACTCTGCACTGGGTCAGAACGAAAGCGTGCTGTCATGATAAGCCGCTGGAGGCCCTGCCGGCTGATTCTATTCGTCGGCTCATGCGGGACGTGTGTACAGTAATAGGAGGCAAGATCGACACCGCCGGACCGGCCGTCAATGTCAAACATACAGATGATGTTACAGACGGGGGCGTTGACTTCGTGCCTTGTATCGCTGTGCGCGGATGGTGGCCAGCAGAAGGCCAGCTCGACGGATGTCACCTCGAGGCCGACTTTCCACCAGCGGCGGCGCGGGCCGACATCCGTCGATACGGGGTACATCTGGTACCGACCGGCCGGCCCGGCAGCGACACCGAGTTCATCGAGTATCGGATTTCCTACTCACGGCCGGAGGTAGTCGCTGTCCGCCACCTCGCTCCAGTGATACGAGCGTCTATCGTGGCTGTAAAATCCATGAAAAGTATAATGAAAAAGAACGAGGTGGTGAGCGAGGACGTGCCATTGAAGTCATACTTTATAAAGTCGGCCGGACTTTGGCTAGCACAAATCACTCCCGTTGATATGTGGACAGGCATCACTGACGGTGCTCACAAAATACTGGACTGGCTGGAGACAAACCTCGCCGCTGGAAGAATGCCCTGCTTTTTCGATCACAACATTGATGTGGCCGCTGAACTCACTGCAGGCCAGCGACGGGCTATCATCGACACACTAAGGCTAATGAGGGAGCATGCCACACTCCTTCTGATGGCAATCTGTGTAGATGAGTGGAACGTGGATCAGCTGCTGGAGGGCGGTAAGGGGCCGCCCTCAGAGCGAGAGCTGCGGCTCCGTCTCGGACGGACGCTGGTACTGCGGGCTATATCTGACGGTGTCTGCTTCCGCCCCACAGCCCCATTCTGGGAGGGCTGGTGGAAGGAGAACATCCCACTGCTGATTCACACAGCTCCACTTCTACTACAGTGGTGGCACTACGGTCACTCTGGAACACACTACCAGCAGTGCTGCCTATTCATGGCGTGGACTGTGGTCGACCCGGCAGACCTGGTGTCAGGAGAGCCGGTGACGTCATCACCGGCCAGCGACATCGTCACGGTGGACGTGACGCCACTGACAAATCTCCTCACCAGGTCTGACCTGGTTTACCTGCTGGGTGACCCGGACAGGGTGGCCACCTGGTGTAGTCAACAGCTGCGGCGGCCGCTGGAGGAGCGGCGAGCCGGACTAACCGCCGATCTGAACACACCGCGGGGCCGTGCCGAGCTGCTGCTGCGTCCCGAGCGCGTATTTACAAATTGCAACCGAGCTCCGCCGTAGGATATTTTATTTCCGCCGTAGTGTATTTCACCTGGGGGATTTTCTACCATACATCTGCCTAAGCTTAGGGTAATTACATTTTGTCGGCGACGTTAAAAAATGATGCACCTTTTTTCGCAGTATAGGATATCGCATGTGCATATTTCTGCCTTTTCGGGTGCGCTTTATCGTTTTTTTCGTGAGTAACTCGCGTAAAAACCGTCCGATCGCGACGAAACTTTCGATGCCCCCGATTTTATCAATTTTACACCTACCCTGAAAATTTCATGACCCTGACCCAAATGACCTTTGACCTGTGACCTATTTCTCGAGACCATGTTTGGCCCGAATCGCGATTCGGCGTATGTCGGCTCGCATTAGCCGCGCGGTTGCAGTTTTCACGTGGTTTCAAGCGTTGAAACATGTGATATGATGCTGGTCCCATGCATTAGGGTGGGTGTCAAGGCCACCTGAAGGTCAGGTCAGCTCAATGACCTTTGATGACCTCGGTTTTCTTTTCCGAGTTTTACATGTTTCTAGGCTAGTTTTTGGAGCTGATTTCGAATTTAGCAACCATTTGAACACTACAGGGGGTGTAACGAAATTATCCGGACACCTTTCTTCCCGCTGTAATTAAAAAGCAAAACAATCTGGTACTTTTTCTTTTAACTGAGCTTGTAGCCACCTTTCATAAAAACACAGTGATGAATGTTCTGGAGCATTTCAGCCAATGGATTCTCCAGCACACTGGCTTTGATGCGGACCAACGCCGTCTAAACCTGTGCCTGCGGTTGAGCAGTGCTTATGGCGGGTGGCTCTTCATACACCTCCTGCTGTACAAGAGCCCACAGGTTTTCAATTGAATTGGGATCGCGACTTTTTCCAAGTCATAAGCGTTAGCCCAGAATGATTGAAGGTTCTATCGGCATCACTTCCCGTTCTTTTAGGGACTTTTAAGTAGCGCGCCGCCCCGCATGAAGGCAGCGTGGCTTGAATCAGGCATCAGTGCGCGTTCAGAAACCGTGCCCTCCTATGCCGTCTGGTTGAGCGCCTCCAATCATGCTCCACCACCTTCCCTGGAAAAGCTCCACCCTTGCCTATGGGGCAAAATATAAGGGACAGAAACACAAAACAAGACAGATAAAAACAAAGCAAAATTAACTCATTACCTAATGAAATTCAGGCTTGAGCAAAAACATAGGTAATAGGTATCTATGTCAAATTAGAATGAAAGATTAAAATCAACCTGACCAGGCCTTACGGTCTGACCTGGTCATAACCACCTTATTTCGCCTAACTTAACCCAATTCAACCTAGCCTACCACAACACCTGCAGAGGTACCTTCCTGAAAAAATGACGCCCAGGGAGGTGACTGTCCAACTTATTGGAATACTACCATGATTGCTTGTCAAAATGTGTGTCATCATGCTCTTGTTTGACAAGTGATGTATGATAAATGTGATATTCAATAATTATCTCCTGACTGCTGACTGTTGAGTGATCAAAATATTCAAATAATCAGGGTACAATGCTGTGCATAGTGCACACTAATCATGTTGTTTTTGTGTAGGCCCTCTGCACATTGTTGTGTATACTGCAATGCTATGTGCACCTTAAGTAAAAAAGTGACTGGTGGTACATGACAAAAGGTTGTGCAACTGTGAAGTTCATGCCCTTGGTCAAGCTGGTGCCAAATGCCTATAGCTATAGCAGGATCAGTGAGGGTTGTAGACATGCTACATACATTGTGCATTGAAGATATTGGCACAAAGTTCATCCGTAATTACTACGCTTAACACCTAATGTAAGAAGCGACATAAATGCCCAGACCAGAGTGATATTCAATAATTATCTCCTGACTGCTGACTGTTGAGTGATCAAAATATTGAGTGATGAAACTGTTGAGTGATCAAAATATAGATAACTCTCTGGTCAACATCACACACATTTATTGACATACTTTGCAGGTACATATTTACATTCATGTCAAAATATACTTTCGATTTGATTCAGAAGTAGCTACCATGCAATGATTCTAAAACTTTCCGCAATCGATCTATATCTCAACTGACACAATGAATTTGAAATACCCTAACAAAACCTATAACTGTACATAAAAAGAATGCAAGAATGCTACAAGAACTATAAATTTCTGAAGTTATTCTCACAAGCTGGAACGTTGAAACTCTACTTTTGTCGTCCATTTCCACGTTTGATTGAGCCATCATATCGAACTGTTTTCGTTCTTCAGTCACAAGCTTTCGCACACATCTTGAATTTTTACACATCTTGAACCATGCTCCAATCTTTCCAACAAGGTACTATGGGTTTACATAGCCTTGGTACTATGTAACATCAAAGCAATTTTGATTTGTTACAACAGCTTCAGATCATGATAGGCTTGAGGCATGGATAAGAGATACCTGGATGGGGCACTCTCGGCGGTACCCTTTGATCTACGCGTCACACCGCCGCGGCCGGCGGCCGCCTGGTGGCGGAACCCGGAACTAACAACGTACACTCGGGGGCAGATTGATGTTCCACCACTCCCTACCCATCGGGCTGCCATGGCTCAGCACTGGCTGCTGCCAGTGGCAGCACTGGCAGCACTGGCACTGACAGGCAGCGCTGAGCAGTGCTGAGGGCAGGCAACACTGGCAGCAGCCCGTGCTGAGCCATGGGAGCCCGATGGGTAGGGAGTGGTGGAACATCAATCTGCCCCCGAGTGTACACGACCGCCGGGCGCCCGGGCCGGCTGAGAGCATTAGCGGCGGCCGTATCTTATGCTCCTCGCCGTTTCAAGCTGCGCTATTGGGGCCTATAGATGGGTGGGTGGGTGTCAACGGGTAGTCAGCACGATGCTACACGTGTGCAATGTGCTCGATTTCATAAAAATCGTGGTCGCTCGGATACGTTAGCCCGCTTAACGACGATCGAATCGCGGATTCCGCCCACAGTTTCTGCGCATGTTCGTCCTCTACATCCTCACAACCAACTCACCTCATCACTGATCACCCATATTTGTTCTGAGCTGATAGCCAGCCACCCCACCCGGCTCCTTGGCGACTGGTGAGGGCACTAGGGCAGTTCGAGGAGAACCATTTCCCTCCAGTGCTTGCATTACCGAGACATGCCGGTCTCGCCTGAAGCTCAGCTCCGCCTGTCGACGGTCGAATCGGCCCACTGTATGTATGCCCCTATTCTCTTATTTAACGCCCCAAAGAATTATAATACACCAGAAGCTATACAGGAACCGACACACCCGCACATTAAGTTAGCAAATGCCATGAGTAAACAGAATGCTGAATGAGACGATTCTATTTGCAACAAAAACTCACCGATCTACAGCGCTCAGCATTAGCTTTCTTCAAAACAACAGCCCATCAGAAACAACTCCCAAGGACGGACAAGTTCACAGACATCTAAAAAACACTGATCAGTGCCCACTGCCCTCCAGTAACGGAGGCCATTGATAGAACAAGGGGCAAGTAGGGAAGTGGAGACGTATGGATACAAACATGACCAGTAGATCTCCACGCCTTAACGCATCAGGGTTCAGGTGTCCATTGGTCTTTATAAACATAAGTGATACACAAAACTACTTTCAATATCAAACATCCTAGCAATACATACATTATTGCCCAATGTCATCCCTAAGCATCAATCAAACAGTTAAATTAAGCAAACACTGGCATTTACAAACATTAACACGAAGGCACTGTATACAACACCCAATACACATACATGCTTAACACTCAAGGCACCACACAAGCATTGCCATCATGATCTTGCCCCAGCCCCAGTCCCCATCCTTCCAGTCCAGTGCTCATAAAACAGGCTGATCCAGAACCAATGGCTGGTAGCTGGTCAAACTGGAAAGTGGAAAAGGTACAGATGTGATTAGATGTAATAGGTGGATATTATGGAGAATCAACTCAATTTCAATGCATATTTATAAAATAATAGTAATATTAATTGAGTTATATTATTAGAAAGCATTATAAGAACGAAATGTTCCTGAATACAAGATAGGTAGAAATACGAATGCACTTCCTTGATAAAATATTAATCATTTCATTTTTATAGGAGGAATTTAGCTTCTTACTAGACATAAATTTCCATTTTTCCTAAAAAAGGTATTAACTATTTATGATAAAATGATTGCAATCAAGAACTCCTTGAAGAAGCGTAAACTCGTAACGAAAAATTATTGGTAGGTGGAAGATAATAATTCTGTGACCATATTTTAATAGTATATTTATTATAAATCTTGTCAGTTCATGAAAAAAGGTTTACAAATAAACTGTTCAATCCAGACAACACTTCAAGCTCAACATATAATACTTTGCGCTGTGGAAGATGCCTATTTTGATATGCAGCATTATAAGTCATTATAGTGTTGTAACTTGTAGTTAAGGTCTGAAATGAATATGGGGCTAAATAAGAATGCATTCCAGTATCCTTAAAATGTATTTATTTTGCATTATTCTTATAATAAGGCAAACTATTCCAAACCAATGTAAAAGCAGTGTAATCTGTGATGAACAATGTGCGCCATATTTGTAGTCACCAGTTCAAAGGCCATTCTCCTATTACCACACATGAATATTCATTTAATTCTACATGCCATCGATTCTCGGAACGATTCTGAATAAAACCCACTACCTCACATCTACTTAGCCTACCGTATCAAAGAGATATTCACCGATTTATGCTTCTTGCCAAAACGGTGTTGTTTTCAGAGCATGGCGTTATTTCATCAATTATAGCTATTGGGACCAAACTTTTACCTTCACTGCATTTCTCACCTTTCAATATAAAATATGCCGCCCCAACTTCTTCTTTAAACACACGTAATCACACGTAAAAGCAAAATAACGATCGCCGCAAAGCACTCCGCTTTTTTTTTTTGAATTTTGCATCCCCGCTAGCTCAAGGCTATAGCAGGGGAAGGGAAGTTACTTGCTGGCAATTAGCCAGATCTTTTGTTTTACGTTAAGTTAATTGCCGGCTATTTGAAAGCACTCCGCCATTGAGTTTACAACAGGCGCCAAGGTCGCGGTCGTGTACGTTCCTCGCGCATGCGCATATCGGCCGTGTGACGCTAAAGTCGCCGGAGTGCCCCATCCAGTTATCTCTAATCCATGCTTGAGGTTTGTTACACCATTTGCCAGACAAACCTCTACAAAATGTGTATCAATTCCCAAACTAAGTAATTGATCATATCAATATCAGTATTTGCAGTTTCCACACAATGTTTCATAATACTATTCTATGTTTATATAAAGAAACTCAAATAATCCACAAATTGTTATTGAAACACTCCCACTTCAAGAATTCACAGCAATAACAGTACAAGTTCAAACTTACTTGTTACTTGTTGGGTTAGGGCGCATAGCCTCGTTGGGCTTTTTTTTTTTTAGTGGCCCTAACTTACGTTACCGGCCTCGCGAGGAGGGCGATCGTTGGTCTCAAGCGTCCGTAGTTGTTGTCATCAGTGCGCCATTCTTGTCTCGATCGAGTCTGATGTTGCAGTCGGTTGCAGCCAGATGGTTCAGAGCGTTCAGAGGGAAACTAAGCAGATGAAGGAAAATGATAGGTTTAGCATGGGGATATACGCGGGCTTTGGATAATGTCCAGGCAGGAAATGTCCGGTGGAGTATAATTAGTAAAAGTTAGTATCTAACATATACCTGGTTAAAAACTTAAAAATAAGAAATAAAAAGGTAGTTTCTGGTTCTTGAGTCATTCAATCAATAACGTTCTTGACACCACATCTGTCCAGCTCCAGTGAGCTATTCCTTCCGGATCTTCCGGCAACGTCTGCTCTTGGTACCTTACTCAGTTATTGACATGCGTTGGAGGGTCCATGATCATACCGAACCGCTACTTCGGAACTATGTGACTACTTCTACAAAAAGGAGCCAGATTGAACAAAAGAGTTAACCCGGCAGTTGCTGGGGTATTTCGCCACCCACCGTTTGCTGGGGGGGGGGGGGGGCGTTAAACGCCCCCAGCCGATAACTCGAGAACCAATAGGCGCAGCGAAACGCACGAGGCGGCAAACGAAAGAACGCGACGAGACGCTTCAGATGAGTACTTTAAAGTTGAATTTTGAGGTCACAGGTCGGGTCAAGGTCAGGTCAAACACCTGAAACCGGGCTTTCAGTAGCATGGACTTCAGGACTTCGCAATGGGCGCCTCTCGTCATAAACTCTGTCAAAACGGTGCACAATCCATCATATAAGGCCTACAAGAGTGTCATCTCCATGTAGGGGTCAGTCAAGCATAGGTCAGGGTCAAGGTCAGGTCAACCGGGTAGGCACATATCCCCAAAAATCAAAACTGATATTCGCAGCCTGTGACACATGTTTTATGGGTAATTTGGGGCGTAGAACACGATGGTGACATTCATTTTATCATATGTGTACGTGTTTGGCTCAAAAAGTTCAATTTAAGAAATGCATGTATCATTGTCGTAAAGTAGTCACGAGAAATTGCCGACATTCAGTTCAAGATTTTGCAAAATGCGGAACGATAATCAATAATCGAAGATAGCCATTTGATTGTTCATGGTATTGGCAGTCTAATGGCGTTTACGGCATGTCTGTATGTCTATTCTGTGATTTTATATGATTTTTTGAACATATGCCGTTTTTGGTCGAAAACTCAGAAATCATGACGTCACTAAAACCTCGATATCTCAAAAATTTTCCGACAGATTTTTTTGAAACTTTGTCACAATAAACTTCAATCAATTTCCTACAGGAACCCAAAATTTGGCGCGCCTGCGGCGCGCCGTTTTTATGCTATGGCCCGGCGAAAAAAGTGGGGGCGTTTAACGCCCCCCCCCAGCAACTCGCGGGTTAAGAAGGTATACATCCAAGAGAAATCGAGAAAAAAAAAACTACAGTAGCAGACCAGTACAGGCTGCTCTTCATTCATCCACTGACTGCATCCATCTCTCACACCGATGTATCTCCACTCACGCATCCTTCTCATTCAACATTCAATATCCATTCACTCATCCCCAAACAATGCACGACTGTTTACACACATGAGGACGTCCATAAGACCAGCCACAGCACAGAACACAAAACACCAGAGAGACGACAATAAAGTGAACAATCACCGCAAATTACAACAGTAGGAGATCACGTCAATGTGCCAGATCGACGGCAATGCCCTCCGCATCAGTCGCGACAGGGGTTCGCCAATCGGCGGCCAAACTCAACATAAACCAATAATTACACATTTAAATAACTTAAAATACCAAAATCACAACTAGTTCAGTGCATATCATTGCAGTCACAGCTTTTTGAAGAGGTTGGTAGCTCGTAGAAACCTGAAAACCTCGTCGATGATGTCCGGGTGATGATCACCCAGAAGAGTTTTAAGGGTAAGTGGAACATTCAATTGGAGGCACTTCCGTACAATCAATTGTCGATGGGTGGCATACGTTGGGCACTCAACAAGTAAATGTTTGACTGACTGGGGACACATGCATCGGTCACATTCAGGTCTGGGCTCTCTATCTATTATATGCCCGTGCGTATACCGTGTATGCCCTATTCGCATGCGACATAACAAAATTTCTTCCCTCCGACTGGTCCGTCTACAAGATGACCATGAACCGACTTCATCCTTGATCAGCTTCAAGTTGGTGTTGGGGTTATACTGCTGCCAGCACTGATTGAACAGGCGACGGACAGACAACCCTATATCGGGATAGTACTCTTTGGGACCCATTTCAGGGACTGTTATTTGTTCCATCGAGATAGCCTCCCTTGCCAGACGATCGGCTAACTCATTCCCAGTGATGCTGCAGTGACCAGGGATCCACAAGATGACAAGTTCACGAGCAGACAAAGTAAGTAATCGATGGCAGGCCTCTAAAACCATGATGATTGTAGGATGGGAAGTGACCGGGCCACGAAGAGCAGTCAGCACAGACAAGGAGTCCGTGCAAATGACGCATCTCATGACACCACTTTCCTGCACATACATAAGTGCCCGTAGTATCGCGAATGCTTCCGCGGTGAATACAGAGCAGTTGCTTGGCAGCTTAAACCTTGCACGTCTGTCCCCAAGTACATAAGCACATCCAACTCCGTCATGATTCTTTGAACCATCAGTAAAGCAGAAAGAGAACGTTGCATATCTCTCTCTGAAGTCGTTAAACTGACATTGTACTCCAATATCAGTCAAGCTTTCTTTTCTCTCATTTGTGAGTCGAATCAGGTCACATTTTTGTTACAAGTTCAAAGCAAACAAACATTGCGCCAGATTTCGTATGAAACGCGCCATCGTCCTGAAGTTTCTACCACAGACGGTAGTTCAACCGCAGCCGTAGTGCGAAAACCCCTGCCCACCTTACCCCACGGCGGAGCTCGGTTGCAATTTGTAAATACGCGTCCCGAGCTGCTGCTGCAGGCTGTCCGCGTGAACGCGCCGGGTAAGATGGACCAGTGGCGGAATATGGACCAGGTAGCGAAGCACAGATGGATGAGTAACTACCGACCAATGGATACGTACCAGGGGACCCGAGAGTGGTTGGAGCGGCAAATAAACACTAACCTGCATGAGCAGCTCCATCGAGGACTGCCAGAGATGGACGCCGCGTCCGTCGACGCCACGGCCGGCCTCTGGCGCCGCCGGGTGCAGCAGCTGCTGTCCGGTGACCGGCTACGTACGGCTTATGACGCCGTCACCGGCTGGTGGCCGGACCGATGGGAGATGATGCCGTACTATGAGGCGGTGGACGAGACCGACTCAGAAGGTAAGACGGTAGTGGCGCCGACTGCTTTTATTAAAAGTTCAAATGCTCCTAGTGTCAGTACTGACTAGAGGTGTCAATCGGAACCGAAAATTTTGGAATTCCGAAAATTTCCGAATTCCGATTCGGAAATCAGACGGACAAGTGACAAACACATCGGACATATTCGGAAAACTAGTTGAAAATTACAAAACATGTCATCAAAATTGGCAGGGGATAGGTGGTTCATACGTCATTCATAATTATAATGCAAGATGAACATCAACATAATTGCATGTAGCAGGTAGCTCTGAGTCAAATATATAGTATATACCCACCTATACTGTGACAACTTTTAACTCTAAATTTGAAAATGTGTTTACGAATGGCAATAGCCAATAGGTGACATTGTTGTCAGCAGGCCCATCATTAGATAACACAGTTATGAATATGATGTAAGTACAATCATTGACCTGTGGGAAGCGCTAGACACCAAAGCAGTGAAGTAGGAAATCCAAAAATAGACTTGCCTCACTTGAAAGTTAACAGAAGAGGCTGAAGAAAATTGCAAATATCAAGGTGTGCCAAGTAGCACAAGAGTCTTACCTAGAACCCCCTATCATAAAATCTTCCCCTTCCACCCCTTCCCCCCAAAAATATCCGTGCCGAAATATCGAATAAATGCTACATTATGCCGATAGCCTATCCAAATAAAATGATTACCAAAAGATGATGAAATGCGGCGAAAGCGTCATAAATGTCACCTAAGGAAAGATGGCCCCCGGATGAGAATCAGAGGAGACAAAAAAAAAATGACGTCTAAAATAATAAATACAGTCAGTTTGCTTAACAATAGAATAATTTTTGAAAAATTATCATATTTCGCACTGCATATTATATTTAAATCAAACAACTAATGGTAAATGTACTTCAATAGGACAAATTATCTGATAATGACGTCATATTACTGATTTACTTTCACATCATCGACTCAAACCCGGGCGGTGTTTCACGGGCTGCTGCTACCAACCCCCACCGGACACGATTTGGTAGCCGAGGTCTGTGACGTCAGCTGGGCGTGAAGTTTTCCCTTCACCATAGGCTTTACACACAAATTGGCCAAAGTTCATGCCAGGATATCTCA